TGCTTCTTCATTTTGAAGGGATAATTATTAGGATATTTGATAGGCAGTTAATGATAAAAATAATTAATTCACAGTATAAACAGAGAAAATAAGTGTTTTATTTGGTTCAATAGCCACAACAACAAAGACAAACAAACATTTTCAATAGCCTCCTCCGCTGGCAACCTTTGATTTTTTATAACCTTTCTTCTTGGCTTCGGGCTTCCTGTGTTAGGGACAAAAACAGAYAACGCAAACGAAAGGAGAAAAAGCGAAAGTTGCCTGCGAAGTAGGCTACATTTTCATGTATTTTGTATTTTTGTTAAACAAAAAACAAACAGTTTACAAATGCAAAGAATGAGATACCTGTGGCTAACAAAAGCTTAATAGTAAGATCAAACAAYACTGGGTCAAGTTGTACAAAGGGTGGATAAAGTTATCCACCGACTGATTAAAGTTATCAACTGCATAGGTCTAATTTTTTTATGGATTCTATCCACTAAGCAAGGATTTATCCGCTGGATAGCGCTATSCACTCTTCATACAACTGGCTCAATTTAATTTAGTTCAGGGATGTCAAATCCGCGATGTATGCCTTTTTTAATTCGGCAAACTCTTCTTTTGTTAACGCTTCTCTGTCTAGGAGATCTTTTAGGTCTTTCAATTGCCCCAGTATCTTTGCTCTTTTGTCATCCTGCAAAATATATTAATTTATGAAGATTTATCARTGTTCGTCTTAATGGCGTACAAATCATTTTTGAATAACCAGTTTCAAATATATGCCTAACCGATGTATTCTATGTTTCTTTAGCTTCATTGATATGTAATGTTACATAAGATTATTTGAATTGGCGCGAAAATTAATTTTTAAAGTTAGAGGCGGTCCGCATAGGTAACAAACAAAACTTGTGAAAATATGATTATCRTATAGTTAAAACGTTTTAAAYGATTCTTACCCATATCAGTTAATGAATACAAATCGAGTTCATTCACCCTATTCTCACACAAATGCAAAAAGGTTTATCACTTGCTTTGTTGTCGAAGMTAGCAASTTACTCACTTTACTTTCAGCCATATGACCAGCAGGTGGATCGTTCTTTGTCGGTCTCTTCGATGTTGTCTGAAAATATGGAACTCGTGGTGGCTCTGTATATGAAGTATGAGTTCCTAAGGCCTACAAAAAGAATAACATAACACATTCATTTGATATTTTCTAGTACTTGTACTTCTATTAACTAGCAACACAATGTGCAATAAATCAATTTAAAAATGTGCACTCTCTCCCCTCCTCAATGCATATGTGAAGTGTAATTTAGCTTTTAACATACCATCATATTTGCCCAAGACATGAGTTTGTAGTCGGGCAATTCCCCCGCAACGTAAGTTTCCTTTATCTTNTGTTTCGCTTGTAAGCGAATTTATTACTCCATGTTTGTCAATGCTTACATATTTAAAGCTTTCAGTAGAGTAGTTGTAGTTGTTTTGAACTACGATATAATCAGTAAAACCTGCTTGATTAAACAAGAAAAGTTTGCCAAGTCTTGTTGAGTAACTAATTTTGTTAAAACTATACGTCAAATGTTATTTCAAATTACCTTTCTTTCTCTTTTTGCCCCTTGCATCTTTGGGCAGAAAAGGATCCACAAACAACGATATTCGTTTTTGAACACCACTCGAATCGTAGGCCTGGCGCAAACCTACTTCATCGACTATGTCGTATTTCTTGTTGCCTCTCCCTTCTTTGAATAAAGCGAGTTTGTAATTAATGGTGGTGGCAGGCTTAATCTTCTCGGCGTGATTATCCAAAAAATATTTCTTAACTTCATCAGGAGTAGAGAACCTTGGGAAGTTCTCTATATTAAAGTGATTAAATTTAGTTTTTAAATGTTCATCGCAAAGCACACGGAGGTGAACGGTATAGGTTGCCATGCTCTTTAGACTCAGCAGTGTTCGCAAGAAAGAATGTTTTTACTAATGCGTCTGATATTAATCCGCTTTTGATTCAAAAGATGTTAATATGAATCCGATAAAAATCGTGTGTATGTTGATCAAAAATCAACACMTAKTACTAGTATATTCTAGACAGGAATCTCTTTTTCACACGAATAACAAAAGGTATAAACACGAAGATCCAAATTTTGTACGAAAAGTTTGTAAAAAACATTAACAGCTAGCTTTAAGCTTTTCGCATTCCAAATGCGAATCGACATTTTTATGCTTCAACCATGTATAGTGAGGATTTAAGAGCTAGAGTTATATTCTTAAAACACGGTCTAAGGCTTCGAGTCCCTGATATTAGTTTGGTTTTAAATATATCGACAAGTACGGTGTATCGAATTMTAAAGAAATTTTTACTGTCCGGTGAACTCAGCTGTGAAAAGGTTGGCAGGCCAGTTGGTGCATCACTTCATCAGTATGAACAGTATGTTTTGATGGAAGCCATTCTTGGAAACCCGGCAATGACACTTCGAGAGATCCAGTGCGAAATCGAGCGGGCCACTGGGGGATCGTATCACCTGTCAACAGTGTGGAGATACCTTAAATGGTCGGGCATGACTCGAAAAAAGGTCAGCTGAAATCCGGGGGGGAGGRGGACTAGGGAAGGGTAGGGTTGCTTGTCGGAAATGTAAGAAAATGATATCCTAATACAAAATTGGGCGTGGCAGCACGACATTTTATTCCTATTTTATCATTATTTGTGCCCTGAAAGCTTAAAACGTACCAAACCCTGATGATGACCCCTTAATGAAATGATGAGCACCCCAATGAACTTAAATAGACATCTTTATSAAAACRTATGTGACRACCACTTTTTGTACTAATACATGATAGCTACGAAAAGTTGCACTTCAAAGAAATGAGGCACTTAGAGCTGCCTACAGGGCTGWGATCTGTCTACATGCACCAGAAATGCTTGTTTTTATCGACGAGAGTGGTTTTGTGAGTATTGATCTAATTAATTTATTAATTGATTATTCTTTTCGATTCCATTCCATTCTATTCTCTTCTATTGTAWTCATCAGCCCCTTATTACACTCTTAGCGATACTTGTTTTAACATAAAACTAACTGATTTGCHCTGACTAGTAACATAAACAAGTAAAAGAATACAATGCAATGCAAAATGTTTGTTAGTTATGTCAATAATCATCTTATCATGTCACTTGTAGGATGAAAGACTGCAAAGGCAWTATGGATATGCCTTTCGAGGTTTGAGGGCTACAGTATTTAGATACTTTGTCCGAACGCYTCGAGTTTCGACTATTGCTGCTATRTCACTAGATGGACTAATCTGCTTACGATGCGTGAACGGAACAGTAAATGGAAATAGTTTCCTTGATTTTGTCAACCAAGATTTAGCACCGATACTGTTACCCTATAATGGCATTAATCCGAACTCTGTTGTTGTCATGGGTAAGTATTGGATGCTACACAGGCTAGCCAAACCTTTATATAGATCTAAAATAAAAATGGTTAAACTTTTGTTATTTTTCCTAATAATAGGGGTGGATTTTAAATYGAGGCTATGGATCRTTTTTTTCTCCTGCATTTTTGTGACAAATTAAATAAAATGAACTGGCTAGCTAAACTTTACAGTAGTTGTTAAATAAAATTGCTTGTCTAGAGTACAAACGCTAAAACTGTGCAACATAAATACTACTAAATACTGCTAAATTATGCTAATTCTATTATTTTCTAAATAGTGGAAAGTATTGCACACATCTKAAATGTTTGTACTCTATTGCTCAGCTAATTTGATTTGTTTTCTGTTATAATTAATTGCAGATAACGCAGCAATCCATCACGTTCAGGCTGTCCAAAATGCTATTAGAAGAACAGGAGCCAGACTGATTTACCTTCCCCCATACAGCCCGGATATGAACCCATTAGAAGAAGGGTTTAATCAAGTAAAGGATTGGATAAAATCAAATGACATCGTTTGGGCTGCACTTCAGGGTATCCGAAAGATTGCGATGCTGCATGAGGCCTTTTATCAACTTACTTCAGATGATTGCTATGGTTATTTCCGCCATGCAGAGTACGCATATTAATCGGTGTAGAATATCAGCGTTATTGTTTTGAAAATACTAGGAATTTTGATAACTCAAACACCAGGAATTTATACATGCATAACACTGTAGGCCAAAAACTGATAAATGTTCGYGTTTACCGGGAGCCCGTGCTCGATACGCGTGGCGCTTAAATGTATGGTGCCGCGAAATAGTCTTTCRCGTCTGCGAAAATCTTTTATTCTTATTATTTTAATATCAAAAAAGCTTCATTTTTTTTATTCTTACTTGGGAGAAATTGTTTTCTAATGTTTGACCGAGTTTGAAATGTGTTTGAACGAATTCAAAACTTGGCCACACTTTAGAAAACAATTACACACATGTATTTATCGCCATTGAGAACAATAATTTTGCGGCGCCATACATTATAAACTATTTCATGATGCAGATTAATAAACGCCGCGCGTAGCGAGATTGGGCTTCCAGTGCGTTTACGCGTAAACGCAAGCAAGCGTAATGTTCTGCAGTTTTCACTATTGTTTCTTCATTGTTAAATGAACACTAGCTGGTGGTATTGTTTAGTCAACACTCATAGTATGTAATTATAACATGTGAAGATTGGATGTTTGCATTCCAGCTAGATAGATTAAAACATTCGGTTGCATTCAAACAGTGTACGTGTTCGAAGTACAAATTTATTAAATGTGTAATTAATATCAACTTTTAAAGTATGTAATAATAAAAAMGTTTTAATACACCAATTGTTAATAGTTGGACTGAGAATCTGTAGACTTGGTGTTGCTTGTTTTTGCCGTTTCGTTCATTGCCACAGGCTTAGTTAGAATAGCCGTTACTGTAATAGAAGTGCGTAGTATTTTCCTGATTTTTCGATACTTTTTGTTGATCTTTTGGTCTGAGCAACCAACTTCAGAGCTATAGTGAAGCTAACCATCAAGCGTTCACGTAATATTTTAAAAATACAGAAGTGGGACGTTTGTTGTAGTACGTGCTGAAATTCTAATCAGTAGCGTGTATTAGAGTCATCTCGAGTCGCTTTGAACAACTTTCTTGAATGATTATTACTGTTTAATCCAAACGCTGATAGATAATGCGGGCGGAATCGATTGACAACCGATCGTAAATAAAGCAAACACACTGTTCATATATCAATCAGTTCTAAAACTCAAAATAAAGAAATAATTCGAGCTTACTGTAGAGTTGTAAAGTGTAAACAATATTGCAGATTATTGGGAAAGTTTAATGCAATTATACTAACATTTTTATGTCTTCCGTTGTAAATTGCCTCAATTCAACGTTAAAAGCTGAAATTCGTTCGTGTGGTGTATTTTTGGCGACTGACTTATCCGTAGTTCTGAACATTTTCTCGATGTCAACCATGAATTATTCTAGCAAACCCGCGTGTTCGGGACAAAGGGTTTCGCGCGGGATTACCCATCATGCACTTGATATTATGATATTTAGATATTTCGACAATTCTCATAATTTTTGCAAAGGGCTGTA